AACTAGAATTTTCTGTACAATTCTATTTCTTAATTTAGCGAAAACAATATATATAGAGTGTTTAGTATTAGCTATTATTATGTAATGAAAAACTAATGTTTGATTTATTACTTATCTATATGTATTTAATTCAAAAGTTTTTCAAATCTAACTGATATGGAGTAGTAACATATTGGATTTATGTCTTGGAATTGATGTAAAATTTACTAAAAAGCGTTTGGTAGTATGAGAAGAATTATATATTCAGGTAATTGTCCCCTTTTAAATGGACACTGTTTTATTGTTCTAAACATTACTACTCTAGACTGACTCTCGATTCGTGTAGAGTTTCATTGTTTATTAACTAGACATCCAAATAATGTATGGAAATTATAACTTGGACGTTGTATTCATACAGATTTAAACTATATGTGTTGATTTGTGAAATATTAGTCTCTCGAACGTGGAGGTAGGAGAAAGACGGTGAACCTCATTTTCATCGGAATATGATCAAACTAATCGATAAACTTAACATAACTCAAATTTGAAAAGATGTAGAGCTTAAGAAACAGGAATGAGAGTGACATAACATAAAACTTCCATTCAAAATCAGGCATTCCAGGAATGGAAACATTATAATATGTCTATATATTAATTAGAAGTAGTGGGACCACTGGAACATCATTGGAAAATTAGACATTAGAGTTTTCGGTTGACCAGTCAAAGTTGTAATATTTTCAGTTGCTTTTGGAGTCTTTGAAGACAAGTGACAAAACTAGAATTTCTTGGGCAATAAAAAGAAATTAAAGTAGATCGTATTGATAAGAGAGCTCTCACATATATGAATCATGTTGCAATCTATCTCGACATGATCTACTCTACAATTTATCATAGTTTATAGAGTAATGTAATTTTTATATATCGCATCCGTAGATATGACTCTTCTTTTTGGGCACTCCTTGTTTTTGGGATATTCCTATTCAACCTAATGGCTCAATACTTAATCTGAATCAGTATCTATGAATACTAATTCGCATGTTAAGTTTAATCTACAATTTAAGTCTGATATATATCCGAAATGGATTCCAATAATACCTATTGAGTTGTTTCATTGAAATGTGATACTCTTTGTATTAGTATTCTCATGACCATTATTTTCCAATAGATAATTGTACCGTTGGGGTTTGGTTGATGGTCTTAACGCTAAACAGTTGATGAAGTCGAGAAACATTGTTACTTTAATTATGTTTTTTTATTTTGAAACTTACTTTATAATTATGTTAAAACAATGACGGCATCAAGTTGGTTCGTCATATAATTAAAGTTAAACAAATTATAATCCTCATAAATATAGATTACTACACTATAAAGTATAATATTTACAGAAAAAAGATAATCAAAACAACTTTGGTAATTAGTACAAACTGATATAATTGGAGCAAATAATTGGTCTTTCCTCGCACTAGGTAGTGCTTGCTAAACAAGAAGAGACTAGAATTTCTGTAGGGTTAAACTGGTTAGTTACACTTTGAGCAGTTCTAATATGTTTTATTTTCTAAAATTACAATCAAACTGCTGAAATTTAGAAAATACAATAAAATTTAGTAACTATTCACTAACTCTTACTAAACTTATAGAAACCTTATTAAACCTATGTTAAAAAAAAACTTATTAAACCTAAATTTTGTAATTTTTCTAAATTAATGGTATATTTTTGGAATATTTTTTTTTTATTTTTGTGACATTTAAGGTATTTCTTATATTTTTATATCAATAAAGTATAGTCATAACTTAGATCATATTTGTAAATGAATACAATTTTTTTTCTAACTACTAAAATAATAATTAGGATATGATCGTTAATGAACTACCACACGGATCATACAAATGACATGCGAAGCAAATAAGAAACCCTAATTTCTGAAATAAACAATCAAACAAAAATAGTAAGAAGAATTGGAAATTCCGGACAAATATTCGGGTGTGGGGCCAATAAACAGAGTGATTGGCCGGCGTTATAAGTGGGACCCAGATGTCGGGTAACTTGATGACACGTGGCGACATGAGAAAGGAATAATTTTGGAGGAAATCGAGGAAAGAAGGAATGATAAGTGAGAGCAAGTGGTCGCAGCCTGATTAGGTTTTTGCATGTGGTGTCTCACTCACAGTCACTGTCACTGTTTCAAACTCGCACTTTTTATGACTATTCAATTAAATAATATAGCCAAAATCTATCTACAAATATACTCTCTGACAAATTTTATTCTTCCCTACTTTGGCTGTAATAGTCGTCTAGTAAGATAAAATACTACCTAAAACATTCGTACCAAGTTAATGAAACTTATCTAGCAAGATAATGTTTTCAGTTTTTAATTATCAATTATCCCAAAATACAATGCTATGAAATATGATTCAGTTACTACATCATGTAACCATTAAAAATAGGGATAATTGGCTATAACACCAAAAAAATCATATCTTAAAAACTAGCCAAATCTCTTTTATGCGGCAATATTATAGCTATTAGATATAGGGTTGTCAGTTGTTTTTTTTTTTATACATAATTTTTTTTTGGTTATATCACAAATTAACCCTAAAAAATCTATTATGTGTAAGATTTTATTTTGATTGTATGTTACTCGATCTAATAATTTATAGTCTATTTTCGACAGAGAGGTTTTGAGTCTAGTGGTACCATGCACAAAGTAATTAAAAGACCCTAAGTTCGAGTCTTCTCGGGAAAAAAAAAAAAGAAAAATTCTTATCCAGCACTAGTGGTCCGATGAATTGAAGAGGGTCTCTCACAACCTAAACTTACACAAATTCGAATTTGATTTCCACTCAAAACTGGAGTGTTACATTTAGATTAATGGTTTCTGGAGCTTGTTTGGATGATGCGGAGACCCACTAATTTGGAGGTTTCAGTCATGCAAATCCAAATGTTTAATACAATAGCTTGTGTCAACAAGTTTGTGTATCTACGGTATTAGTTGGATTTGTCCGGACCATCCACAAAAATAAAAATATAGTTTTATTATTATTGTACATAAAGACTATTTGTATTGTATCAATTGGTAAAAAAATAATTTTTCAGGATAAGTATAGTCCTCGAATAACTTACTTGCACTATCGCTCTTTTTAAAAGTAGATGTTTTCGTTAAGTTTAATTTTTATACTAAAAACTTGCATGATTATTTTAACACATATAGTCCTCTTATAGTTAAAGAGACTGGTGTATAAAATAAAATAAAGAGGATTTAGGATCGGATTAGAGATTTGAGGCGCAATTTCCAAAGGGACCCGCAAATATTCTTGCCTCCATCTTCAAGCAAAGCATCAAAGCGTAGATTCCCATGCATCTCTTTCTTTTTTATTTTTCAAAATTATTAGGAGCTTTCTTTTGTTTGTTTCCACTTTAGTGAAAACTTCTCTCGATTTCAGAAAACAGATTCGTTTTCACGATCTATAGTTTTCTATTTATTCATTTATTATGTTCTTATTGGTATTTAAATGTGCTTTTTTACTCAAACGTATGATTTTTTTCATTTTCTTTCTGTTTTAGAAAGTTTTTTTCCCCACCTATTATATAACTAGCTATGTTTTCAAAAGTAATTTGTACGATGTTTTTTTCAACTCATAACAACTATTTCGTTTTAATTGTACTATGACTTAAGGAAAGTATACTGTGTGAAAATAAAACTTCTCCTCGTATTCAAATAACATAAATTTTTGTTTTTAAAGTAGTAACATATTTTGTAAGAGTTGTTTAGCAAAAAAAAAAACTATAATTTGTGAGAGTTTTACGAATTATGATTTGAAATTCATAGAATAAAAAAAGAAAATTGAAATTGTTGTAAGATTTTTGTCAGGTAATTTCGTTATTCCGAAAATGTAATATTTTACAGATGATTTTTCGTTTATATTTTATAAACTTTTATCATTAAAAAAAATGATATCGTGACGCGTGAGTCGTGACGTAGATCAGAGGCGGCACTAGTTCGCGACTTCGCGTGATGAAGTATCAAATGTTTCATTTTCCACCATGGGCCTATATTAACTTTATCACACTAAAGGAAATTAGGCCTACACGTACCAGACCATTGGGCTTTACCACAACTTCAATTTCGGAATTAAACTACATTTGTTCTGTTTTTTTAATGCTTTATTTTATTGAAATTGATTTAGAATAGATTCAATGACAAATACGATACAAAGATAAACTAATGGTTATTTTCGCACCAGAAATCAAGTGAGAACAATAATCGTTGACGAGTAGGTGTTCCCGAATCCACAATAACAGCCAGACATCCAATATCTATTACTTTAGATAAATCTCCTTCTTTGATTGTCTTTGTCAATTTTGTTCCGAGTTGGCTTAAGTGAAACCGCCGTTGAACAACTTTGAACTGCAAAACTTAAATCAAATAGATAGCCAAGATTGACTAGATACTAACAAACTATAGATCTTCTACGATGAAAAAG